CAGTTAAGGCACAGTGGTGTGCAGATCTCACATATGGAGCATAACAGACATCTTTATATGATAAAGTGACATAAAGTCACTCTTTACAGATGCAGTGAAGGCAGGTGGCAGTTCTGCTTGTGTCTCATTTTGAATGGGCTGATCCATCACTGCTCTCTCAGCTCTGGCTGAGCAACAGTCTCTTCTGTAGTCACTTTGTATGTGTTTAATATCAGAATGTGTTTAAACTCCCCCCAGGCTGCTTTTTTGAACAGGCTGACGAGCCTCTAATTCTACCTGCTCCCAAAGGCTAACCTACATATGTGTATGTGAGAGAGAGAGAGAGAGAGAGACAGAGAGAGAGAGAGAGGAAGCCTCCGGAGAGAGCGAGCCTGCGCTAGCGCGGCCACAGAGCCGATGTGGAGATGCAGGCGGCAGCAGAGGAGCATATGTCCAATTACGGGGCTGAAAGACAGAGCAGTAGCGCGGCGTTTGTGATTCGTGGCCGCAGGGGGCCCGTCGGAACGCCGCGAGCGTCTGATCTGCGAGTGGGAGTCCCCGCCGTTTTTGCGGTTCACCCAAATAGAGGAGTAATTATGGTGTGGTGAGAAGACGAGCGCTGCTGGGACTGAAGGAGTACAGCAGAGAGAGAGAGAGAGAGAGAGGGAGAGAGAGACTCATTCGTATGCCTTAACCACTCAAACAGTCACCAGAACAAAACCAAATGTTATACACTGAACAGATTGTGCGCCAGTGGCTCCTCATCTTCTCTATCATTTAGTTCCCATTGTTGTTTACAATTTACATTGCATAATTGTTGTATATGTACACAGTAGTATGCAAAAGCTCGAACACTCCCCAGTCAAACTACATGTTTCGCTGATTTCCTAAGTTCCTTCAACTGGGAACAAACTTAACATCAGGCTTATTACATACTAAGGTTTATTATTACGCAACTACAGGGACTTCAGTGCAAACTGGCTGAGCTGTTCTTAGGTTATAGTGGATCCCGGCTATTTAAGGGGTTAAATATGACATTTTAGTGCACAGTTTCTGTATATTTTTAGTCAACTTATTGGAAAAAATCAAACGTAAAACATAAAGGGTGCTAAAACTTTTGCCCAGGTCACATTTTATGTTAAATATGTTAAATTCAGAAAAAAAAAAACAGAAATTGTCCTCTAAAATGTGCAGAAGACATGTCGCTTTGAAAATCAACATGTATTTATGGGTCCTGGCCATTTAAGAGGTTAAAAATGGTCCATTCAAAAGTGCAGAGGACGCTTGTAAAATCAACATGTATGTTAGCGAGGGGTGCACAAACCTCTGTATACAGCTGTATCATATGAAAATATCTAATTATTTTTAACAAGACGGCTGCTGTTTACATTGTCGTATTGTGTGATGATGGGAACAATAGAAATGGACCAAAACGGCTTAATTAATTAATGTACGTTAAGATAATTTAATAATGATTTAATTTAATTTAATTTAATAATAATCCTCTCCTGTAAAGTTTTAGAGATGTGATGTTTAATATTCAGCCATAATACACAATTGCCTATCGGTGTTGACTAAACAAAACCTTGTATATCTAAAAAAGTAACTTTGCAGGAGAAAAAAAGGTTTTTATCTTTGTACGTTAATGTAATAAAAATTCTATTTCATTTTGGAGCCTTTCTGTTGGTCCATTTTGACATATTATATAGGAAAGTTGGCATTTTCATATTACATAAAATGAACGAAAATGACAGTGATGATATACATAGTTAGGGAACAAATCACATACAAAAACTTCATTTTGGACCCGAGAGGATTTCAGCTCCTCAGATCTAATTCAGGCTGGTTTATGTTGTGTATGCGCTATATATATGTACGTATGTATTATATATGCATATATACAATATTTTTATTTCTCTCCTGCAAAGTTTTAGAGATGTGAGTTTTTCACAACAGCCATAACGCGCAATTACATATCGTGGTTGTCGAAACAAAACCTTGTACATCTAAAAAAGTAACTTCACAGGAGAAAATTTGCTCGTAACTTTGATGTAGATTAAAATTTGAATACATTTTGGATCATTTCTGTTGGTCCATTTCTCATCAACTTGTGACACGTTGTAAAGAGCAGCTGGCACTTTCATATTGCATAAAATGGAAAACGACAGTGACGATATGCATAGAAACAGTGACAAAATCAAACAAACAAACAGTGTTTCACCAGATTCAAATGATGAAGTATCTCCTCCTGTGATAAAGTAGAATCTGCACATTTACACCTGTCTATTTTAGTGACTTACGGAAATTAAATAATGCAAGAAAAACTTCATTTTGGACCCGAGAGGATTTCAGCTCCTCAGATCTGATTCAGGCTGGTTTATGTTGTGGATGCGTTGAATGCAGCCCTGCTGCTCTCTCTCTCTCTCTCTCTCTCTCTCTCTCTCTCTCTCTCTCTCTCTCTCCTCACCTCCGCGGCTGTGTCTGAGCGTTTGCGTTGGTGCAGTCACTAATGTCACTTCTGGAGGCTTTGTGTTTGGCTGGCAGTGCTCTCGTCAGCAGAACCATCTGTCCTCTCCTTCCCTGCGCCCGTGCGCTTCAGACTCTCTCCTTGCCAAAGTCACTGGCTTCAGTTTTTTTTTTTTGTTTTTTTTGGTGCGTCTCTTCTCTGTCTCTCTCCTTCTCTCTTTTTTTAATCCTGGAAACCTTGTGAAGTGGCGTGGCGCCTTGCCGAGGCGAGGTGTTCTCGGCTGAAGCGAGGGCCAGATGTTACAGGAGTTTTGTGGGAGACGTTCGCCGTGACGTGAGGTGACAGGCGCTCGGCTCCGTCCTCCGGTCGCAAGTTTGAGGCAGAAGTTGGTAAAAGAAAACGCGAATGTGTCAAAGACTGTTTTGCGTGAAGATAACATCACTAGTGCGAGTCGAGAGTCTCGCTCACTGTATGTTTATGAACCTTTAAGAGAGCAGGTTTTGCAGCCCTCTGTCAGCTGTACATCACTGTAACCCTAACGGTTCAGAGGTGCTGAGCGGACAGTGGCCCATTTAATGTGCACTGAGGTCGCTGTCCTGCTTCGCCATTGCTTGATGAACCCCTGTCCAGACGTAGCGGTCATGATTTTCATCTGCTATTATGTTTGTTTTCATCTGATGGAGCAAAAACACACGACTTTTGTTGCCACTGTGCCGTTACCTATTCAAAACATCTGTGTTCAGCATTTGACCTTCATCTAAACTACCGCTCAGAGTTTGAGGTCACAGATTTCATTCATATAAAACCAAATTCTTTGACGATTCTGTGGTTAAACTACTTTCTAGAATGAACTTATAAAGAAACTGACACCCACAAAGCCTCATATTTGATAAACAAATCTGGCTAATTTAACAGCCATTCAGAGTATTTTTGTGACAACAAATTCCAGTAAACAGAAAAATATAGCTTATTATTTAGTAACACTTCAATTTTTTTATTGTTTTTTAATTCCATGTTTTCCCAAATACTATAAACTGTAAAAAAAAAAAATTCTGGTTTACGTTTTACTGTTTAGTTTGTGACAACAAAATCCAGTAAACAGAAAATTATAGCTTATTATTTAATAACACTTCCATTATTTTTACCTGTAAACTGTGAATACAGTGTTGGTTTAAGTTTTACTGTCTAGTTTGTAGCATTTCACTGCAAAAAATAGCATCTTGTTAAGTAAAATTATATTATAGTCAATAAATCTAACATTTCTCCTGTTGAGATTGTTGTAAGTTTCATTTAAGATAATTGTGCTTGTTTTAATAAATGTGTTTGAAACCAGCAAAATTATCTGTCAGTACAGTGAGAGAATTTTACTTAATAAAATGACCTAAAAGAAGTTAAAAACATCTAGAAATAAGCTAAATAATCTTATAATAAGTGCACAACCATCCCATAATGGGAAATATTACATATTTCGACTAGAATTAAGACAATTTCACTTGACAAAATTCCACTGTTTGCATTGTTTGTTCAGTTTTACTGAATAACAATTGATGACAAGTGACCCCAGGCTTTTAAGCAGTAGTGTATAAGCCAACTTTTCCACCTGAAGCATAAAAAGTTATGATATTTTGGCATTTTTTGAATTTCTGCCTTTTCCATTCACGTCTTTTGATGCACTTTTAAAAATTCCCATTGGTGGTGGATGGATGTGTGCGAGAGAAAGTTTGTCTGGTCTGCAATATTTTGGCTTTTAACTCAGCACTTGGTTACCACACTCCTAAAATAAGTGTTCCTAAATAGTTATTTGCACTGTAGGAAAAATTGCCATAGAACCTTTACTTTACCTTACGTGGACGTTCTTTAAACTTCAAAAAAAGGTTCTTGATTCTTGCATATCGTCGCTGTCCAATGAAAAACACATATCTGCATTTTTTGCGATTTTTACTTCTCTGCATCATTTGAGCTCAGCAGCTGTCCTTTATCTTGTCTGAAAATTTCATTAAGATTGGACCAATAGAAATGCTCCAAAATTGCTTAGAATAAAACCTCTTTCCATTGACTTACATTGAAAACAAAGAACGTTTTTGCCCTCTCCTGTAAAGTTACTATTTTGGAGATACTTGTTTTTCTTACTTACAAAAACGAGTTCTTTAAAGAAGCATCCATTGGAAGGTTCTTTAGGGTGTCAAAAGTGGTTCCTCTACAGCAGGGGTCATCAGTCTTGGTTGATTGGTCATCAGTGTGGCTGTAGATTATCACTCCATGAAAGCAGAAGCCCATCCACGTTATCTTTGGACTCTAAGAATAGGTTAGTGAGGTAGTCCTGCTTGGAATTAAAACCTGAACCACACTGGCACCTTTGGAGACCCCTGCTCTATGGCATTGCGCCAAAGACCCCTTCCTAATACCTTTACCGGGTTAAATATGAGCAGTCGAATCACTACACTGTGCTGCAGCGCTCCAGGACCAGCCCTGGACACTCTTAAGCTTCTCCATCAGTATAAAAGTACTTTCTTGGCCAACATACCGAGATCTCTCTCTTTCTCTCTCCTTCCAGCAGGTCCAGGGTCAGCTGCCTCCACTGATGATCCCCGTCTTTCCTCCGGATCAGAGGACCTTGGCAGCAGCCGCTGCCCAGCAGGGATTCCTCTTGCCTCCAGGCTTCAACTACAAACCAGGCTGCAGTGAGTGTCCACCATACTGCATCTTCCTCAACCTCCCAAACCTGTCGGACCACCTGCACTCATAAAAAGATGGTCCTTTAGTAAAGACAGTGGTTCTACACTGCAAACACTGGTATCTTAACAAGAAAATCATCTTAAATCTAGTCTAAATATCTAATATTTCTCAATTTGAGATGGTTGGATATACATTATAAGACTGTAAAACTTATTCTCAGATGTTTTTACTTGTTTTAGGCAATTTTATTAAATAAATCTGCTGGATAATTTTGCTGGTTTCAAACACATTTCTTAAGCAAAATTATCTGCCAATATAGTGAGATAATTTTACTTAATAAAACTACCTAAAACAAGTAAAATTGTCTATAAATAAGTTGAATAATATAATTATAAGCTTATAACAATCGTAAGATGGGGAATTTTAGATTTATTGACTAGATTTAAGACAATTAAACTTGCCTGTAAATCATTTTTTGCATGCTTAAATGGTTCTGTGCATGGTGAAGTGTTCTTTAGATGGTAGAATGTGTTGTAAATGGTTCTATATAGCACCAAAAAGGGTTCTGCTATTGGTAACATCAAGTTTGCAACAATAGCACAACCCTTTTGGTGCTATGTGGAATCCTTATCAAAAAGGGTCGATATAGAACCTTATACATATACAACATCAATCTAAGGAACCATTTGACCATGCAAATGTTTCTTTGAGTGTTCATGGTTCTATATATATATAGAACTAATTGAACTATCGTCTTTACTAAAAAACCCTTTGAAGAACTATTTTAAGAGTGTAGGTGGTCAGTTGAGCACGTCAGTTGGCCTCTCAAACAGTTTTAAAATAGTCCTGCTTGGCTGGAGTGAAATCCTGCCGGCACTTTGTGGATAATACTGAACAGCCCTGACCTAGATCAATGGTCCTCTGGACCTGAAGTACACTTGACCTCCATATTTTGGTGGTTGTTACCTGATCTAACTGATCCAGCATGGATCAGGACAAGGGGTGGGAACCACTGACCTAGGCTACATCATATCTGCAGCTCTCCAAAAACAGCTACCCATCCAAGTTAGGACATTCAGACAGTTCCGTCAGGAGCATTGATCACCAGCCCTCCTCCTGGAGAGCTACGTTCTATGAGTTTGGTCCCAATCAAAGTCCAATATCTGACCCCTTTCTCACCCAACGCTAATGCACCTGATCCAGCCAATCAAGGGCTGACGTTCATTAGCTGAAGCAGGTGTGGCAGATTTGTGCTGGACCTAGACTCTGCAGGAAGGTTTCAGGAGCAGGGTTGGTGACCACTGGACCAGAGCCTCCGAAACCAGATCGGCTAAACCAGATTGTTCGGCCTGGACGGCAAGCTCCCGTCTATTGCCTTAGCAAGATCAGCCAAACGCCTCAGACTCTCAGTGTGTGCGGAGCGTCTCCGTGCTTTTGTGTCTCCAAAGTAGGAGTAAGGGAAGGATAGGAAAAAAAAAGAAGCAGAAAACTTCCTCTGGGGGTTTGCGTTTTTGGCCGTAGCAGTCCAACTGTGAAGCAATGTGTTGTTTACCGCGAGAGGCGAGCGCGGCGGCTGCCAGCAGCGAGGCTGCCGAACGTGGATGGAGGGTGGGGGGATCTGGGGTGGGGAGGGGGGTGGAGAGTGACCTGCCCCAGGTTGCCACACATTAACACGAACCGCCGCCAGGACGCGCGTCCAAACACGCCTCGCACAGGCGGCCTAGCGCACGCCTCCGTCGCCGCACACACATACGTACCTCCCTCCCAAGACGGGACCTAGTCCTCGGCTCCAGCTCCGCCCACCGCACTTCACAGTTTCCCAAACAAGTCTACACCCCCCCTTACACACACGCTTCCATAACACCCCCCTCGTTTTAATTACTGCTAGCCGCACCGTCGCACACTGCCCAACTTTTTCAATTACGCGTGTGCTTTTTAGCGCCGGGATGCTAAAACCAAAACTGAAGCGAGGGGGGCAGGGGTAGGACGAGGTCCCTCCGGCACGGGACGGGTCCGAGGGGGGACCCCCGGTTCCCACCCGTCTTCCCCAGAGCGGGACCGCTGAGGACCCGCAGCCCGGCCGAAAGACGCAGCCTCTCCGAGCCAAGAGCAACATGTTTGCTTTCTTTTTCTTTTTTTTTCCCTCTTCTTTCTTGCTCTTTTGTTACAGCTGTCCCCGGGAGAGACATAAAATAGCTGGAATACTTCTGTTTATTTAGGGACTGAGAAAGGAGGAAGGGGGGGGAGTGGTGGTGGAGAGCAAAAACACATCATCTCCCCAGAATACATCCTTGAACCGTGTCCAGAGAGCTCTCTACTGGTCTGCAGGCCCGGCTTGTTTTTTAACAGGGAGAGTTGTATGGGAAAAAATGTTTTTTTGGATGGTGCGATAGGGGCGTCTGGTTTATAGCTTACCGAGACAGGGTCCTGCTTCGTCCAGTTCTCCTAAAGTTCAGAGACAGACACTGTGGAGTCTGGGCCAGCGAAGACGGCCACTGGACTGTCCGCTTTTAAAGCGACAGAGTTTAGTGAACAATCGAATAGTATTGCTTAGCCAAACAAAGTCTTTTAAAGGGAATTTGTGATGATTTAGCTGTGCATGTGGACGTGCATAAGCTACCCGGACGTCCTGCGCCATGCAGCTTCGCCTAGTAGATGGTACAAATCGCAGCTGTACCACATAGAATTTGACACAGCGAGAGCACCAGTAAACAAGCTCAGGCATTCTTCTTGCGTAAATTTCATGCAGTTAAACTTGGCAAACAATTTAGTGAATTTATCACGTTGTTCGCAAACTCTTTTCAAGCTAAAAGATAAGCCTATGAGTTGAAGTTACGATGCTAGACTTGTAAGCCGAGATTCGTCTGTTTACCTGCACTACAGTTCAGTCTACTTTGTGTTTTTTGGTCTGATTCTGGGTTTAATTTAATGCAGTAACAGCAAAGTGCTGAATGTCATAGAGAGAATCTGAGCAGTGCTGGAACTCAGCAAGTGGTAACAGTACTAAATGTTGCCGCCTTCATTTAAGCAACACTATGTAGGATTTGGGGATTTGGAGACCTCTCTGGTGGAAATGTGTAATTGCAAACCGCATTGAAAGAGTGTTTGAAGAGAACTCAGTCTAAACTTGGTGAAGGAGCGTCTTCTGAGGATGTGAGTGAATTGTCTGATATTGTCATCACATCCTCGTCAGTATAATGTTGATTTTGAGATCATTTGAGACCTAAACATCGAGCCGGACCTTCTTTTTTGAGTCTGTTTGTGTGACGTTAATACGTAAAGATGTACAACACGGTCCGAAAAACTCTCGGCTAATTTGTCCTGGTATTTATGAGTTTTAAATGGTTATTTCAGGCTTACCATATTTCAGTGTGCTCTTTTTTGCTGCTTCTTTCAGTTTTAACAGAAATATTACACAGTGCTGCTTTAAAAGCAATGATTTTATTAGCTACATTAGCTTCATTGGTGCATCTTGGCTGATCTGGGTAAAGGGCGAGACTGTATCTAGTTGAATTTGGGTATGTCATTGTTTTGTATCAGGGTTCAAATAAAGTGTTTCTGTCTCTTTAAGCGCACACACATGGCGGAAATACATCTGAAAAGTGCTGATTCTCTGAGAAACGCAGGACGAGGGCTGTCAAAGCGTTCTGATCTTTTTCAAAGCCTGTCTGTCTGCCATTAAACAAACATGCTTCCTGTCACACGCTGAAAGGAATCTCTGCGTCGGGCATTTCCAACCAAATGATGCATCGTTCTGCTGCCTCTACTTTTATGAATCACCCATGACCAGCGGTTAAGCTGTAAAAAGATTTGGTGGGTTCAGCCAACAAACAGGGGGCCTTTCAGAAAGTATAACTTCTTTCACGAGTCTTATGTGTGTTTGAAGATACATGCAAAACGGTTTTGAATGAATGCTCCTATTATCTTTGACCCCATTCAGTGTTTAACGTCTATAAATAAATGATTGACATAGTTGTTTTTGCAAAGAAACGTAGCCGACACACAAACTTGGGCGCCAGTTTTAATTCTAATCATTTTCTGCAGGTTGGAATTGACTAATCCAAGTCAAAGTGACCCCAAAGATAAAGACGTTAGTATATGTGAAGATATTAGGAGGTCAAACCACTTTTACTAGCTCTGCTGTCATCAGTTAGCATCACAGTCAACCACATCCCCTTTCAGACTCTGAGCTATTTTGTGGTTTCTGGCAAATTGCTCAGCTCTCTAACGTAGCCATTAAAACACTGTAGGACATGAGCTACTCAGTGTTGCTCACAGCACTGCAAAAAATGTAAAATATCAAGTAAAACAATCTTAAATATAGTCAATAAATCCAAGATGTCTCCTGTTGAGATTGTTGTAAGCTTAATTTAAGATTTTTACTTTATTTCTAGACGGTTTTTACTTGTTTTAAGTAATTTTATTAAGTAAAATTATCTAATTATATGTCAAATAAGCAACTAACAAGTTGAGAAGAACCAATAAATAATCTAGCGTCATGTCCACACTGCAAAAAATGGTGTCTTGTCAAGTGAAATGATCTTAAATCAAGTCGATGTATCTAATATTTCCCGTTTTGAGATGGTTGTTTGCTTATTTTAAGATTATATACCTCATTTCTAGGCATTATTTACTTGTTTAAAGTAATTTTATTAAGTAGATTTATCTCACTATACTGGCAATCAGCATTTAATTCCCCAAACAAAACTCTCTACAGTGATTACTAACAACATTTACAATATCAGGCATGATGTTAACACGCATCACTGTAACATTAGCAGCACTGCAGCAATCCTCATTCTGGAGATGGAGCCTTATTATATTATTATATTATCTTCTGAATGTTAAGATAATCCCTGAAGATTATGGTGGGCCATGAAAAGGGTTGCCAGGTCCAGCCCAAAGTTTTGCTTAAAAGGAGCAATTTTAGGCGTTTTTCTCTCACGACTGCATTTTCAAACTAGCCCAATTTGGTGGGAAAGCTGAGGACCTGGCAACCCTGACCGTGGTTGTGTGTGCTGAACCAAACACTGGCCAGATAACCAGGTGCACATACTGGACATGAAAAACTCTCGTAATGTGTAAATCTTGCATATAGATGGGAAGAAAATATCAATAATAGAGATTTTAAGAGTTCCTCATGTAAAGGATGGACAGGAAGGATGGTCATTTCACAAAGAGGGTGTTTTTTGTCCTTTTTTTGACCAGTGCAGTGCAAAACAATGGTACATTGGCAAGTTAAATTATGTCAAATCTAGTCATAAATCCAACATTTGTCATTTAGAGATTGTTGTAAGCTTATTATAAGGTTATTTAACTCGTTTGCATACATTTTTACTTGTTTTAAGTCATTTTATCTTGTAAAATTATTTCATATTTTTGGCAGACCATTTTGTTTGTTTGCATATTTCCGATAAACTGACTTAAAACTAGCAGAAATGTCTGTAAATAAGTTAAATAATCTTATAATAAGCTTACAGAAAATCTCACAATGATAAATACTGGATATGCTGACTAGATTTTAGATAGTTTCGCTTGCCGAGATCCATTTTTGACAGTGTAGGACCTCAAATCAAGACCTTCGCTTATGTTTCCAATCATATGATTCCATATCAATCATATTGATACCTATAACCGAACCCTTGACAATATTCCTGTACTCAAACCACCTCAAAGCACCCAAAGGACACATGTTCGGACTCCCAAGAGCAGGCTCTGTCCCTGCACAACCTCCCCTCCCCTCCTGCACTGACCTTTCTCCCTGGCTGTGTAATTACAAAAAAGCCTATCTGCAGGTGGACGCTAATAAGCCCTTCTATTCAGGCCGGAGCTCTGATTCATCAGTGCAGGCTCGGAGGGCGTTCGGCGGAGCCTGGGCCGAGAGGCGAGAGCCAACGTCTGCCCGTTAATTACCGGGCGTCTCTTTATCAGCGCCCGCGCCTTTGGCCCCTATTGTGCTGCGGGTATTAGAGCCGCGGCCGCACAATCGCGCTTTCATTAGAGAGCGCCGGAGAGAGCACAAAGGAGGGCTTTGCGGACGAGGGAGAGAGAGAGAGAGGATGGTGGGGGGGGGGTCTGTGGTTCAGGTAAAAGAGAAGGGTGGAGAGGGCATGAGAGGGGAGGAGAGAAGAGCGTGAGGAAGAGCAGGAAGGATGGAAGAGGAGAGGAAGAGAATTAGGTCATGGTCACAGGTAGACGGGAGAGTGTAGAAGGAGATCAAGGTGAGGTTGAGGCGTGAGCTTCTGTGCCAAAGATGTGTCGCTGTGTCACTTCCACTAAGATCCAGACTTCTCTGTATCCCTCTGAGAGAGGGAGAGAGAGAGAGAGAGAGGGAGAGAGAGAGAGCTGGGATGAGAGTCAGTGAGATGGAGAAAGCTAGAGAGACAAAGAGAGATAGAGTGAGAAAGAAAGAGAGAGAGAAAAACAGCTAGAGTGACGGACAGCAAGAGAGAAAGCTAGAGTACGGAGCCCTGCTGGTGACCTCATATAAATTAAAAAAATAATGCGTGGGAATGAGATCCTAATACATGGCCACAACTTAGCAAGGCATGATCTCGATTCCACATCTTACTAAGTCATGGCCACGCGAAAGGATCTCATTCTCTTGCGTTAATATGGCTTGGCCACAACTTAGTACGGTGTGAAATCGAGATCATGCCTTGCTAAGTCATGGCCACGCATTAGGATCTCATTCCCATGCCTTACTAAGTCATGGCCACAAATTACTTATCTTATTCCTGTGCCTTACTAAGTCGTGCCCACATCATATTAACGTGTGGGAATTAGATCCTTTTGCGTGGCCACAACTTAATTATCTCATTCCCACGCCTTACTAAGTCATGGCCACGTCATATTAACGTGTGGGAATGAGATCCTTTTGCATGTCCACAACTTAGTAAGGCGTGGGAATGAGCTAATTTAGTCATGGCCACAAGGTAGTAAGGTGTGGGAACGAGATCATGCCTTGCTAAATCATGGCCGTTCATTAGGATCTCATTCCCACGCCTTGCTAAATCATGGCCTCACATTAGGATCTCATTCCCACGTCTTACTAAGTCGTGGCCACGACTTAATTATTATCTCGTTCCAATGCCTTACTAACTCATGGCCACACAAAAGGATCTCGTTCCCACACGTTAATATAGCGTGGCCACACATTATTTTTATTTATACAAGATGTCACCAGCAGGGCTCCGTACTAGAGAGAGACAGAGAGATAGAGAGGAGAGAGATTGAGAGGAGAGAGAGACAGACAAAGAGCAAGAAAGAAAGAGAGCTAGAGAAAAAGCTAGAGAGATAGAGTGAGAGACAGAGAGGAAGACAGCTAGAGAGAGAGAGAGAAAGCTGGAGTGAAAGAGAGTGACAACTAGAGAGAGAGTCAATTAGTGAGCAAGACAGAGAGAAAGAGTGAGGTAGTGCAAGCAAGTGTAAGAGAGGGAGAGAGAGAGAGAGAGAGAGAGAGAGAGAGAGAGAGAGAGATGCACAGCTAGAGAGAGAGAGAGAGAGACACTAACCTTTTCCCCTTTCGTTTTCTCTCAGATGACCCGTACCCCCTCCAGCTGATCCCCACCAGTATGGCAGCCGCTGCGGCCGCCACGCCCGGCCTGGGACCCCTTCAGCTCCAGGTGAGATTTGTGTGTGTGTGTGTGTGTGTGTGTGTGTGTGTGTGTGTGTGTGTGTGTTCTCATCTTTACGCCTCCCGTTTTCCCAACCTCTCAAACTCCCTCGGCTTTTGTTTCCGGAGGTCCCGAAGCAGCGACCAACAATGCCCACTGTTCTCCTCGCTCCTTTGCATCATGCCAACTTGGGGTTGCCATAGCGCCAGGTCTTTGTGTGGCGCTGAGCCCCGGAGAGGGAGAATGCGGGCCTGGCACCGGGGCGATGATATTGTTCCGAGAGGAAAGAGGGGAACCATAGAAACTCTTTTTTTGTTGTTGGGGGGGGGGATACAGAAGGAGCTCTGAACTGAAAGCAAACACAAAAAAAGAAGATGAAGATAATGCAGGGAGGCTGAATGGAGCCCCATTGCGGCCCTTCACTGCTAGACTGAGTGGAGGCCGGCGGGAGAGAGAGAGCGAGAGAGAGAGAGAGAGAGAGAGAGACATGATGGAGCTCTGCTGTCCAACCAGTGGTAAACATGCAATCTCTCTGTCTCTCTCTCTCTCCCTTGTTCCGTCTATCCCGCTCGCCCCCCTCCCCTCCCTGCGCTGCTGGCTGGAGGAAAGTTCTTGTTTGCTCTGTTAGCGTGCCATAAATCTCCCGGTCGCAGGAAAAAAACAGTGCACATCTGCTGCACATCTCAGCGTGTGTGTGTGTGTGTGTGTGTGCTCACATGTGTGTACTTGTACGCTTATGTGTGTGTGTGTGTTTGTGTGAGTCTCTAAAGCCACCGTGTGCAGCTTTGCCTTTAGCCCATGCTAACGCTAGCGTCCCCCGCCTGCGGTCAGCCTGCGGTCTTCAGGTTAAGAGCGCGGCCGTTTGAGATGCATTAACCCCGGGGCCCTCAGGGGCCTCAGGGCCCACCGGCAGCCCCTTCTTGCCCCCCCCCACCCCCCCACACCGTCACCAGCATTAACCAGGCCACGAGGACACACTCACTCTGCCTCCATTAGCCAAACACAGCTGCACGCGCAGAACCGGTTTAATAGGGCTGTTTCACGTGCGCATGATGACCGGCACGGCCTGACCAAATGTACTCTGCACTGCCCGCGACAGGTCAAAAGTTTGGGGACGCACACTGAGCACACTTTATCAGTTTGTAGTATCTTATAATACACTGCACTGTACAAACAGTGTAACTGTACAAATGATGGTTCTTCAAGGGTTCTTTAGAAAAGAAAATGGTTGTGTATAGAACCATGAACACTCAAAGAACCATTTGCATGATTAAGGGTTTTTGCATTTTGAAATGGTTCTTCAGACTGATGGAGAATGTGCTGTAGATGTTTCAATATATTCTTGAAAATGGTTCTGTATAGCACCAAAAAGGGTTCTGCTGTGGTTGCGATGTCAGGCTTGTAACAATAGAAGAACCCTTTTTGGTGCTAGATAGAACTATATTCAAAGGGGTGCAGTGTATGGTTCTACACAGAGTGTACACTGTCAAAAAAAAATGATGTTTCTTCAGCGTTCTTTAGAAAAGAAAATGGTTCTGTATTCCCCTTGTGATGCTCTACAGAACCATATACAATACATTTGCCATCAAACTGAAGAACCATTTCTCATTGCAAAGAACTCCATGCAAAGTGTTCTTTAAGTGTTCATGGAGATATATAGAACTATTTCCTTTACACTCTCAAAAATTCTTCAAGGGTTCTTTAGTGAAGAAAAAATAGAAACAAAAAATAGAAACAAAAGAGTTCTATATAGGTTCTTCTATTGTTACAGGCTTCACATCGTAACAATAGAAGAACCTTTTTGGTGCTATATAGGGTTCTATATAGAATCAAATAAAACACACTCTCCATCGATCTGAAGACCGATTTCACAATGCAGAGAACCCTTTAATCATGCAAAGGGTTCTTTGAGTGTTCATGGTTCTATGTAGAACCATTTTCTTTACCAAAGAACCCCTGAAGAACCATCTTTCTTAAAAATGTACAATAGAAGAGCCCTTTTTGGTAGTATATAGAACAGTTTTCAAAAAGGTTCTATACAGAAACGTATACAGCACATTCTCCATCAATCTGAAGAACGCTTGTTCAAAAAGCTGAAACACTGCTTATAACTTCAGTGTGAGTGGGCGGGGCTAAGCTGCTATAGGCTGAACAGGTGGATATATGTAAATATGTTGTTTTTTATATGTTGACATCACAAAAACCAACATTTTTCCCTGTTATTGGCCCTTTAAGATTATTCACTGAGTAATGAGCCTAGAGGTTAAAAGGTTACTGTAAATATCAAGCGTACAAGAAGCCACAGTGTCCCTACAGCTTTTCCAGGCAGTGGACGTTCCCACACAAGCAGTCATTGTATTAGCAGGAGATGTTTTTGAGCCTCCTGGTCAAGCGATGGTAGACAGCAGTGCGTGTGTTTAAGCCCGGCTCTGTCAGTACAGTAGGCTGCTCGCCGCTCTCTTGTCCCTGTGATTACAGTAGTGCCAGATTCAGCTCGTGCTTCTTTTTTTTTGTTTTGTTTTTTTTTGCTTGGGCGGTTTTATCACGCCGATATCTCTCCTCCATATGTTCTCTCCTGTTAAGATTCGGAAAAAAAAATCCCTGATTGAACGGCTTTGTCGGACGCAATTGGATTTCGACAAGGGGAAAAAAATCAACAGAAAAAAAGGGGGAAAAAACAACGGCACTGTTCTCGAGCCATGTTCTCAAATCCCTCTGAAAACACACAGGCGCACACACAAACAGTCAGATTAAAGCTTTGTCACAAAGAAAATCATTTACTCAGGATAACCCAAATACAGATGTCTGAGTACACTGGATTTCCTCTGGGAGCGTCTCTGCATCTTCGGTCTTAGCGAGACGCTGAATAATCGTGGCTGGGTTGCACTTCCCTTATTGCACCCACTGACGGTGCTCCTGTGTCAACAGCTTTTACTTACCTCTGAACTGGACACTGATCCTCTATCCTGTCCAGTATTGGGGTAGTTACTCTAGTAATCCATTACAAAGTACTGATTAATTTTCTTAAACTGTCTTGGAATTACTTTACTGATTACATCCTTTATTATTCCACAGTCAAAATTTTTCAGCTTTTGTGCTAAAATCATGAAACTTTGCAGGATCATAGAGCCTATACTCGAATAAGTTGCTTGTACTTTTTTAACCGATTCGACTAATGTTTTTTATGCAGCTTTTGTCTAAACACATTTTTTTTTTTCCATAACAAAGACAAAAAAGCCTAGCTAGACCTTAGCAACCACCTGGGACACCAGAGCAATGGCCTACCAACATATAGCAACTAACTGGGATAGCGTAGCAGCAGCCTAGCAGCACCTTAACAACCACCAGGAATACTATAGCAATTGCCTAGCAACATCTTAGAAACCATCTGGGATACCATGGCAATGTCCTATGAAATCACCATAACAGTACCTTAGAAACCATCTGGGATAGTAGAGCAACAGCCTAGCATCACCTTAGCAACTACCAGGGATTCTATAGCAATGGCCTAACAACACCTTAGAAACCGCCTGGGATACCATAGCAATGGCCTAGCAACACCTTAGAAACCACCTGGGATACCATAGCAATGGCCTAGCAACACCTTAGAAACCACCTGGGATAGCATAGAAACAGCATAGCAACACCATAGCAACCACCTGGGACTCTATAGCAATGGCCTCATAACACCTTAGAAACCACCTGTAAGACCATAGCAATGGCCTATGAAACCACCATGGCAATACCTTAGAAACCACCATGGATAGCATAGCGACAGCATAGCAACTCCTTAGCAACCACCTGGGACTCTATAGCAATGTCCTCACAACACCTTAGCAACCGCCTGGGAGACCGTAGCCTTTGACCTATGGCCTGTGAAACCACCATGCCAATACCTTAGAAACCACCATGGATAACATAGCAATGGCCTAGCAACACATTAGAAATCATTGGGGATACTATTGCAACAGTCTAGCAACAACTTAGCAACCACCTAGGATACCATAGCAATGGCCCATGAAAGCACCATAGCAATACCATAGACATCTCCTGGGATACCATAGCAACAGCCTAGCAACACCTTAAAAACACCTGGAATGCCTTTGCAATGGCTTTGCAACACCTTAGAAACCACTGGGGATAATATAGCAACAGCCTAGCAACTTAGCGACCATCTGGAATTACTGCATTACCCGCTTAAGTTAACATAAACAATCTACAGTGTTCTGCAGATGCCTTTATTATTTAAGGGTTATTAGCTGGCTTTGTCAGGCCAACTTAAAGTGTGTTATGAAGTTTTGCTTTCTAGTTAATTTACTGGTAAAAATTTACTGGTAAAATTGTCTGAAACATATTTTTTCTTTGGATACTATTTTGCCTTACAATGCCCTGCAAGCACACCTTCACCATGAACAGATAAACATTACACAAACTCTCAGGCATCATGTAAAGTATTTGTAAACATTTCATGTAGTAACTTTCTGTGAGGGAGCTTTTAGAGGTGGACGTCTGGTTCCTATCACCACCACTGTGAACAGTTCTGACTCGGTAAGTTTCTCTAGAACAGAGCGTTTCACTCCAAACCACTCTGAACCACTCTGAGAAAGCGTTCAGTACTTTGTTTAGAAAGAAATCACAGTATCACAGTAAACATCATTTAAAGGTCCATCACTGTTCCTGTTTTAACTCTGAACAGGGCACAGCCAGTTATGTCAATCAAAATCATAAAAATATGAGTGGATTATTCTCTGTGATCCCATAGAAACAGTTTAAAAACAGCTGCCTCGTCATAGGATTTTTCTGATTATATTGATTTATGATTCATGATTAGACTAAGAACGTTTGGTAACACTTTCTATGAGTGTCACCTTTGTAAGCATCTATAAACGCATTCATAACATGTTATAATGCATGCATAAGACATTGTAAACATAGCTATAAATATTTATAAAAATGCATTATTCATTATAGCCGTGTTTATTATGCATTATGAATTGTTAACATAATAC